CGCGCACGGGTGGGGGGGGTGAAGTGTCTCCCCGGGCTGTCAGGGATGGGGGTGACGTGTCTCCGGCCCTCTGTGGGGAGCTCTTGGTCCCCTGATGACAGGAGGCCACCACTGTCGAGTGAGCAGACGTCCTGGCTGAAGAGAGTGACAGATGCAGCCAAGGGTGTGTGTGTGTGAGAGACAGACAGACAGAGAGACAGTGTGTGTGAGAGAGACAGAGAAACAGAGAGACAGAGTGTGCGTGTGTGAGAGAGACAGAGAGACAGAGTGTGTGTGTGAGAGAGACAGAGACAGACAGAGTGTGTGTGTGAGAGAGAGAGACAGAGACAGTGTGTGTGTGAGAGACAGAGACAGAGTGTGTGTGTGAGAGAGACAGAGACAGAGACTGTGTGTGTGAGAGAGAGACAGAGAGACAGAGACAGTGTGTGTGAGAGAGACAGACAGAGACAGAGACAGTGTGTGTGTGTGAGAGAGAGACAGAGAGACAGAGACTGTGTGTGTGAGAGAGAGACAGAGAGAAACAGTGTGTGTGTGTGAGAGAGAGACAGAGACAGACAGAGTGTGTGTGTGAGAGAGAGAGAGACAGAGAGACAGAGTGTGTGTGTGAGAGAGAGAGAGACAGAGAGACAGAGTGTGTGTGTGAGAGACAGAGACAGACAGAGACAGAGTGTGTGTGAGAGACAGAGACAGTGTGTGTGTGAGAGAGACAGACAGAGACAGAGTGTGTGTGTGTGAGAGAGAGACAGAGACAGAGAGACAGAGACAGTGTGTGTGTGTGAGAGAGACAGAGACAGAGTGTGTGTGTGTGAGAGAGAGACAGAGACAGAGTGTGTGTGTGAGAGAGAGACAGAGACAGAGTGTGTGTGAGAGAGAGACAGAGACAGAGTGTGTGTGTGATAGAGACAGAGAGACAGAGACAGTGTGTGTGTGTGAGAGAGAGAGAGACAGAGACAGAGTGTGTGTGTGTGTGTGAGAACGAATGAATGAATGAATGAATGGGTGACAGCCTGGGCACAGAACCTTATTCTAGTAGATACAGCCATTTTTGTTATTATTAACATCTTTTTTTTTTTTACAATAACTCACCATTTTTATTTTATAATGGAAATGTTAACAGCAAAATGGGAAAATAGAATTTTTTGGAGCACTCTAAAATATAAAACAAGAAATACATTTGTTATTTTTTATTTTTTGGAGCTGTAATTATTATCTCAAAATGCCCTTAGTAAAAGTCAATAAGGTTAATGTTATTGTTTGTTTTTACTTAGTGCTGTTTCCTTGTAAATTTTATGCAATATTTAAATACCAGGACAAGTACTGGCGAACTTTATTTTTAAAATGTCAATAATTCTGAGGTGGCTCGTGTAGGATACCTTACATGTGGTTTTCCTGGGTGTTTTAAACTGTGGTGTCCTCAGAGCTCATGGTGTGTGTCACATGTCACATTAGTGTTAATTGTCTGCCCTTGACTGGGTGAGTGGAGTTGGAGTTGGAGACAATGGTTGTGATTTAGAAGGCTTAATGTTTTAAAGGGTTGGGTAGATTTAGATGAAAGTTAAGTCTTGATGAAAGGGATTTACAGAAGGAAAGCATGAGGTAGTTTTAAATGACAGTGAGACCAAGTTTTAGAAGACCAGCAAGGGGTCTGAACTTAATTCTGTACCTCTAAAAGTAGGTGTTTACAGTATCCATTGCAGTAAGGGGGAACAATTAGAATATCAGTGTGAACCACCAAGCTTGGTGGTTCAAGCCTTTAATTCCAGCACTGAGACTGAGTTGAGTCCAGTCTGGTCTACAGAATGAGTTCCAGGACAGCCAGGGCTAGTGAGACCCTGTTTATAAACAAACAAGATCCTCTAATTTTTATTTCTATAATATTTAATGAACTTGCAACCTCATTTCAGCCAAATGCTAAGTGTTCTGAGAAGAGTAGATTTGACAAGGGAGGGTTTGCTTCTACCTTTTGAATACTGTAGTATATTACAGTCTATATTATTGTGTGGTATAATAATTTGTCCCATGAAGGGAAAGACTGTAAAAAATGTTTGTTCTTGAAGAATTAGCTTTACTTTATTATGGGAGAGTTCTTGGAAGAACCTGTTAATTAAGTGTTTCGGAAATTGTTAAACTTTTCCCTAGTGACTTTTTTTCCACTTTTGAAAGAAAAGTAAAGCATATAATGTGTTCCAAGTCCCCTTTCCTCCTGTTTATTTGATTTTGAAATAGGGTCTTACTGGCTAGCCTATAATTTTCCATATAGACCATATTGGCCTCGAACTCCTAGAGATCACCTGCCTCAGCCTCTAGAGTACTCAGATTAAAGGTGTGCAGGATCACGTTCAGCTTTTTCAAGTCTATTTTAATGATAAATGAGGAATTTGCTTTTAAAAATGTTGTGCTGTTCAGAGATTCTCTTGAAAATATATGTTTGGAAATGTTTTCACTATTTAAAAACTCTTAAACTGAATGTGTATAATGATGGATTTTGTCTGCTTGGAAACAGCAGGACCTACCTTCTTTTAACTATTAAATATCAGTTTAACTATTAAACATCCTTCAGAAATAACTTTCAAAAATTTGGTGGATATGGCCAAAAAGTAAATATACCTAAATGAATATTGCCAGCTCTAGACATCTCTTTGGATCTGCTTATTTTTGTGGAGTACAGTCCTCACTTTGTCCAGCACCATATTAACTATACAGGGAGAGGTTCACAGGGACTGTCGTGTATCACCACAGAAAATGTGCCAGCAAGCTCTCGGTCATAGTATGGTAGCATCCCATTAACATGGTCCTGTCCAGAGGTCAGCACCGTGTGAGTATGTTTGCACGTCATTAACACGGCACTGTGGAAATCAGTGAATTTTCCTACATTAAAACTAGATGTTGAAATACACGATTGGAAGCCTTGAACTTTCCTCTCAGGAGGCTTAATTGGAAACAGAATTTTAATGAAAAGAAAGCATCTTTAATACATGCTTGTACCAAATATAACTGCTCAAAAACCGTGTTACAGTGAGACACACAGTCTAAAGGTTTGACGACTACTGCAGGGATCCTCAAAATCTCAGTTACGGGAATGACGTGTGCTTGATTAATCTGGTGACAGTGCTGCTGCCAGATCAAGTAGGGGCGACATTACAGGAGTCTGGGTGTAGCATAATAAGGGCCAACACTAAAGTTAGTAGGTATTTGGGAAAGGGAAGAGTGACTGTTTCAGAGAGGATTTGGGTTTGGGGATTGGAGACTGTGGAAGATGGAATTCAGGAATGACCAAGGTCTGAGCTTTATTCCATGTTGGATATGATATACTGTTGTTAATCAGAAAGCAAATATAGCAGGGGGAAGTCAAGGGGAAAGTGTATTTACTGTTACGTGTTGGATTGGGTTAGACATGGACTTAGAATGAGACAGTATGTTTGGCAGACTAGTTGAGAAACATGGCTGATAGGCAGGTTACTCAGTGTCTCTGTGCCTCAGTGTTGCCAGCTATAGAGTAGAAGATAGTAGTAGACTGTAGCCCGTATTGTACTGTGGAGAGCATGTGAGTTAGATGAGATGTTTGGAATACTGCCTGGAACTCAGTGAACTCTGATTTCAGTGCTTTACAAGTAAGTAAACAAATATAGAAAGTCCTCAATAAATAGTAGCTGGGTTGCATAGTTAAAAATCAGTGTTGTGTTCTCTGTCAGTGTCATGGAGCGACTGGCACAAGCAGTATAGATTTTAGTTGAACAGAAGTTCAGCATAGTACTTGGCTTTGTTCCAGATACTGTGCCAGGCATAGGGGTACAAATGAACAATGTGTTGGAACCCCTATCTATTTGAATATGGTAGACCTTATAGAAGGAAAGCTGTGTGTGTGTGTGTGTGTGTGTGTGTGTGTGTGTGTGTGTGTGTGTGTGTGTGTGTGTGGTTCCTTGTATAAGGCTATATTTATGCCATGATTTTCCCATAATTTTGAAAAGGTTTGTGGTTGACAGGTGCACTTTTGTATCTTTCATAGTGCTAGGCAGAAAGCAGTATCCCTAATTAAAGGCTTATTGAGTAACTGATTACATGATTAGCTGGGGCTTTTCACAGGAAATAGTCAATGTGAGTTATTTTATTAAGAGAGATTATTCTTATTCCAGTTCCAAGAAACTATGATCCTACCTTACATCCTTTTGAAGTCCCACGAGAATATGTAAGAGCTTTAAATGCTACCAAATTGGAACGAGTGTTTGCAAAACCATTCCTTGCATCCCTGGATGGTCACCGTGATGGAGTCAATTGCCTGGCAAAGCACCCAAAGAGCCTGACGACTGTTCTTTCTGGAGCATGTGATGGAGAGGCAAGTCCACTGTAACCCTGCTGTTCTAAACTAACACAGTCCATTACAAGCTCCTGTCCTTTTGACTACCTTCAGTTTAATTCTTAAGCCTAAACTCTGAAATAATATTTAGTAGTTTTTTTTATCTAATCTTAAAATGGTATCAGTTCGGCGGTGCAATTTGACAGTACATAATGTTTATAATAAAGGTATTTAATTTTTTCACAGAAGTTATTATTGATAGCTGAACACTTCGTTTCCCATTCTAGTAAGGGAAAAAGACTCTAAAACACTTTGGAATCAACAGAGTATCTGACAGTTTCCAATTTTATGCTGTTGATACAGTTATCTGTATGCAGCATGTTATTTTAATCCAAAGGATTTTTGTTTTAGTGTCTGGTAGAGTGATTCATAGCCTTTTCAATGTGGGGTTTCTAAAATATTTTACATTTAGGATTCACTGAAATTTTCTGTTTTATCATAGGTTAAGATTTGGAACCTGACTAAACGAAAATGTGTTCGCACGATACAAGCGCATGAAGGTTTTGTACGAGGGATATGCACTCGCTTTTGTGGGACCTCGTTTTTTACTGTGAGTGTACCGTTGACTCAGCAACTCTTCCCAGCAGGCACAGGTGCAGGCACAGGACCTCTGGAGCTCATTAGTACAAAAGTCCCACTTTCCTTTATGTCACCCAGCCTTCCCCATACTGCCTTTGCCTTTTCATAAACAAGAGCTTAGCTCCATTGAGCTGTCTGCCATCTGAACATGGAGAAGTGAGGTCAAAGGGAATGAAGGTGCAATTGATTGTGTGACTTACTATGGAAAACTTGCAGTGCTAGGATGAATCATTTGTATTTTGTCAGTAAGGAATCACTAAGCAGTATGTATGGAGAAGATTAAATGCATAGACTATTTGCTGAGTATACAAAGTAGGACATTCAGTGTGCTCTTATTGTGCTACTGTCATCATTATCCCCTTTCAGAACTCTTGCCATGCTAACCCTATAGTCAGTGAAAGCCCCCACGCTCTCCCCTCAGTCCTAGGAACAACTGCTCTACTTTCTGCTCCTCTGAATTGACTGTTGTAGATGCTCCACATAAGAAGAATCATGTGATCTTTGTGTGTGCAGTTGCCATACCTTTACTCACTTAGCATGATGACGTCAAGGTTATCTGTGATGTAGCGTATCTATAATTTCTTTTCTGAGGTTGCATAAGATCAACAGTGATGTATATATCACTTTGGTTTGTTTTGTTTTTGTTTTTTAACCCATTCATTTACCAATGAAGTTTTAGTTTGTGTCCACCTTTTTGCTATGAGTAATGCTGTTACAAATATTGGAGTGTCAATACTAGTTTGAGTTCATTGATGGTTTCATAACAGGTGAACCACAGATTCCATGCTGTGCTGTGAGATGATGGCTTTGAAAGTAGTGAGTGCTCAGCTTGTAGGCTGTTCTCACTGTTTGCATAAAGCATGGGGGGGCCACCTGGTGACTAAAACCTGGTCAAATTTTGGAGGCTTGGCGAGCCCATCCGGTGATTGAGAGGTGCATGGGAAGACAGCCGTTCCTGCTGTGGAAAAGGACAAGTCAGTAGTCACCAGCAGGCTTAGAGGAGGGGAAGGGTCTAGTGTGAGGAACTAGACCCACTGCAGGTGTCCTTTATAGATGACACTCTGGGACTTAGAAGGAAAGTCAGAACTAACGTTGGCGTCATCATTGCAGAACTAAGGGTTGAGATTATAGTGTGACATCAGTATGCGGAAAATGCAAGCATCCGAAGGTGTCAGGGAATGGGCACTACAGGATGCCTCTGCTGAAGGAGGAAAACATGGTAACATCCAGCAGACATCGTGTGACTCAGTGAAAATACCATGTATAGTAGAAGGAATTGGGTGGCAAGCTGGCACTGCTGGCAGCTAAGACTTTCCTCTGAATATCTGAACTGATAAGTAATAATATAGCCAGAGCATTTGCAGTATGGTTTTCCCTTTTTGATGGAGCCAGGAACTAAATAGAGCATTGTGTGTGCTAGACAAGGCTCTGTCACCAAACTTCATTCTCACCTCTGCTGTGTGATTGTTTGGTGTGGTTTGCTTTCTTTTTTTAAGCATTCAAAATGAATAAAGTCTTCTCTGAAGTATTATTCACTTAAGTGTCAATCAACAAATAGGTAAAGAAGATTTGGTGAATAGATGTAGTGAACCCTACTCAGCCAGAAGGAAGCGGGGAGATCCCGTCTCCTGCAGCAGTATAGATGGATGCTGTGCTGGACAATAGAAGCCAGCCACAGAAAGAACACCGCAGAATAGCTTCTGGTTGGTTGGTTGGTTGGTTGGTTGGTTTTGAGACAGGATTTCTCTTTGTAACAGCTCTGGCTGTCCTAGAACTCACTTTGTAGACCACACTGGCTTCCAACTCAACAGACACCTGCCTGCCTCTACCACCGTCCAGCCAGAATCTCACTTTTATATAGATGATGAAAGATTGGTGGTTCCAGTGGCTTCAGAGAGGAAGAGACTGAGAAGATGTTGTTCTGAGAGTATAAACTTTTGGATAGGCAGAAAGAGGAAATGCACATAATTCATTAATAGAAAGATATGATTTGAGTTAAAAACCAGGAGTATGGTACATTTTGAACATCTTTAATAAAAATCAGAACACTGGGAAATCTCAGCTCTTTTGAGCCTTCAACGTGATGGCAGAAATAGAAGACTCATGCTCTAAAACTGCTTCCAATACAAAGTATTGAAACTGTTGTGTGACATTGTCTTCAGGGGATGATGGCTCTGGGGTTGAGTCTCCTTCCCAAGTGTGCAGGTGCTTCTAAGTGTTGTGTAGTGCCACAAGCATGGTTTTTCACATTGCTTTCACATTCCACATTAGAGTACACATTCTAGATTGAGTTTTTACTTCATCTGTCTCAAACATGTCTGCCAGGCATCCAAGTCTGACTTGGGCAGAGGTGACACCAGTGACCAGCATCATGTTTTCAGTATCTCTGTAACTTTAGCACAGTGAAAAGAGATGATCTTGTGGGATGTTGAGATCGTCTCCAGAGGTCTGCAGTTCAGTTTGAAAGCTTCCAAGCTAATAGTTTCTGGAGTTGTGTGTCATGCAGAGAAGGGGTTTGTCTGCCTTAAGATTATAAAAATGCTTCCTAGCAAGCATTTTCATCCTTTTCTCTTTTTTCTTGTCATTTGAAACAATCTGGAGTTTATTGTTTTGGCTCACACTTCTCTCTCTCTCTCTCTCGCTCTCTCTCTCTCTCTCTCTCTCTCTCTCTCTGTGTGTGTGTGTGTGTGTGTATGTGTGTGTGTTTTCATAGGAATTGGCATGTGTGTAGAGGTCTCAGTGTCAGTCTCACACACTAAGGCTTTTCCTCAGTAGCTCTGACTAAAGGACTGTCCTACTAGCAATCTTAGTCTCTGGATTCCCTGATTAGAATTCTAAGGCTGAAATTCCTAGCAGCTGCCATGCCCACAGAACATTTTCATGGGTTCTAGGGACTGGTCTTGTTGTTTTGCTGATTTTTTCCTTTTATTTGTTTTATTTTTTATTTATTTTTTGAAACAGGTCTATGTATTCCTTGCTGGCCTGAAACTCACTCTGTAGACCAGGCTGATATCAAACTCAAAGACACCCACCTGCCTCTGCCTCTTGAGAGTTGGGACTAAAAAGTATGTGTCACAATACTGGCAAAAGAGATTTAAAAGCAAAACTATGTATGTGTATGTGTGCTTTGAGTTTATGTAGCGGACAACAGGCATGCAGGTGAGGGCAGAAGAAGTCATGGGATCCTCTGGAGTTAGAGGCAGTCGTGAGCTGTCTGATATAGGTCCTGGAAATCCACCCCCACCATGCTTGCTTTTTGAGATAGGATAGTGAGCCATCTGCCAAGTCACTGTGTAGCCTATATTGGCCTCGAACTCACCATTCTCTTGCCTTATCTCCTGAATACTGGAATTGTAGGTGTGTGCCACAGTGCCAGGCTCAAAACTTTATAAATGATTACCCGTATATTCCAGTACCCATTTATTATAATACATTTTTCTTCCTGATTTGAAATGCTATTCTTATATGCCCTAACTTTGATCTAGTCTTAGCTCTTTGTTTTACTCATACTGTTTTGTTTGTGATTTTCTATGCTTTGTGTATTTGTTACAAATCTTTGTTACAATAAAGTAGTAGAAAACAAGTGCATCAGTACATATCAGAATGAAAGGCTGGCCCGAGGTACTGTTTGGAATGGGATACTTACGCTTTGATATCTGTTTGTGTCTAGGTTGGTGATGACAAAACTGTCAAGCAGTGGAAAATGGATGGACCAGGCTATGGAGAAGAGGAGGAGCCACTACACACAATTCTAGGAAAGGTAATTACAAAAGGGAGTGATGTACCAGCTGAGGGGGCCTCGTTTCAGTAGTTGTCCTACTAAAGCAATGTTTAAAAGCAACATTTTATGTCATTAAAATCCTTTGAAGCTAAAGAATACGAGCATCTCTCTGTCACTCACTGTAGTAGAGTTTGATTTCTCTTTGGCTGGTACCAGTCACACTAGACCTCACAGGTCGTGTGGAGGATGCTGTGAAACAGGGTGAAATCTACCTGTTACATTCTGGATATGCCAACCGTGTGACTTCCCCAGATGTAGGAAGCACAGTTTGTGATAAAGGGTGGTGGGAGAAGAGGAAAGAAACCACTTAAGGTCTGCTGATTACAGTGCCAGCGAGGTGAGCATGTATAACACCCTCTCTGCTTCCAAAGACAGTGTACACTGGCATTGATCATCACTGGAAAGACCCCGCCTTTGCCACGTGTGGACAGCAAGTAGACATTTGGGATGAACAAAGAACCAACCCTATATGCTCAATGAACTGGGGCTTTGACAGTATAAGCAGTGTGAAATTTAACCCTATTGAGGTATGTTGTTTCTAAACTATGTTCTGCTCATTGTTTCACATGAAATTTTAGCTCTGTTTGGGAGACATTTTCTACATTTTAATGGTTGTGTAGCATTTCATAAGTTCTCCATGTTATATCTGGGTTCTGTGAAATCTCAACTGGTCGTGAGAATAGACTGCAAATAAATACTTGCCTCTTTCTGGTTGTGTTTTTGAGACAGGCTTTGGTTAGCACAGCCTGGTCTTGAGCTTGTGATCTTTTTGCCTAAGCCTCTGGTTAGTTTTCCACACTTGAGCTCCATCAGATTGTACCTCGAGGAAGATGCTCCTTCTCCTTGACCCTCTTGGAGATCACGGGAGTGAGCACTGAACATGCTGTTCGTATGCCTCGCAGTGATATGCATGAGCACTCTTAGACTGCATGGGAATTGCAGCCAGAGGTGTTTTCTGCTCTGAGATCTTCCGTTCTAAGTGCAGATGTGGAGGTCAGCTGTCGTCTGCCATCATCTGTGTGTGAACTTGGGAAGAGAGGCTAGCCTGGAAGCTAATGTGGCTGTTGGACTCCAGACCTTCCCTCATCTTTTTCTGGATATACGTAACAATAACCGACCCCCATTGTCCAGAAGACTCAGCCAGGATGCTTTCTCTTTCAGTGTTAATAGGAAGCTAGTATGTTAATTTCTGTAAGAGAAGATCCTGAAATGCAAATGTCATCCTCTCTGAGACCCATCGTGGAAGGAGAAGGAGGAAAGGTTAAGCAGACCGTCCTCGTGTGACGCTGACACACTGGGACATGGTGGGCTGCAGTGCAGTGTGAACTTGTGACAGTCCCTGTGTGTGACACTGATGCACTGGGACATGGTGGGCTGTAGTGCAGTGTGAACTGGGGGGGGGGGCGCAAGCAGACAAGGCCACCCTGCCACCAGCCTGCGCCTGCACACACTCCTCTGCGTGAGTCTACATACAGTTCTAAAGCAGGGGTTGCCAGGGTGTCTGTCTGTCCCTCTGCCTGTTAGAGTCTTCCTGGAACACAAGCAGACCCTCTTACTGTACCATCTGCAGCTGTTTCCATACCACAGGGAAAAGTTCAAATAATGCTCTGGGAACCACATACCCATAAAGCCTAATATACTTTCCTTCTGGCTTTTTATGGAAAAGGTTGGCTGATCCCTAGTCTTGATTTCTGTCTCAGCCGTGTGTCCCTGGGTGCATCCTCGCTTTGGTGGCCATCATCAACACAACAGTAAACGTAGACAGACAGTGATTGCTACTTTTTGAGGGGACAGACAAATATTTTGCTTTCCTGTTTTGATGAACTGTCAGAAGAGCTAATAGCCAATTGTAAAATCATAATTACTGGTTATGACCTATCGACCATAGTTTTCAAACTTGCCTATTTAATAGCTCTATTTGTCCACTGGCTTTTTTTTTTTTTAATCTTATGAATTGACTTAGTGATAAAAGCAAATGATGCACATGCCTTCCCCAGTATTCAAGCTAATGGAAAGGGCAGGGCAGATTGCCGTGAACAAATAGAGTAGTTATTTCCTTTATTCATTAATAATTAATTTTCTGTTAAATTATTGAAGCCTAAAATTCTGGTAAAGCCAAAAGTTAATACTGAGAATTGCCACATTTTGCAGTGTGAAAGTTTTTATTCAGTCTAGGTGGAACTTTTTGCTATGTTCAGATTAAAGTCTTTGTTTTAGAAATTGGTAATAGAAGTACAATGAAAAGCCACTAAAGGTTAGGAGGTTAAGGGGCAACTAACAGAGGTTTCAGAAACAGCTGTTGAGACATGCTTTTGAAAAGAGTGGGACCCAAATCATGTTTTTAACATTAGTTTATGATAGTTCATTAAACTGTGTGGACACAATAGGAGTTAGCTGGCCATATGACTGTGTAGTAAATCCCTTTCCTCCTGCTCTGTTTTCAGTAGGAAGTAACTTTAGGCAGGAGCTAAGAGTTGTAGTGTCTGGATCCATGAATAAGGAAGAATATCTTTTTGGTTGTTTGGTTGGTTGGTTTGGGTGTTGTTTTTTCGAGACAGGGTTTCTCTGTGTAGCTTTGGAGGCTGTCCTGGAACTATCTCTTGTAGACCAGGCTGGTCTTGAACTTACAGAGATCCGCCTGTCTCTGGCTCCTGAGTGCTGGGATTAAAGGTGTGCACCACCACTACCAGGCAAGGAAGAATATTGTTACAGAGAGTGGGGTGAGGAGCTGAGAGATGGCTCAGTGGCTAATGAGCCTGCTGTAGAAGCATGAGGACTGCACCTGGATCCCCGGCACCCATGTAAAAGCCGAGCATGGTGGCGTGTCTGTAGCCTATGTTAGGGCACAAAGACAGGGATCGCAGGGATTCCAAGGTCAGCTCTTCTAGCAAAATGGCCAGCTTCAGGGCCAGCGAAAGACTGTCTCAGAAAATAAGGAGGGCCTGAAGAGATAACTCAGTGCTTAATAGGGCTTGGTGTTCTTGTCAAAGACCTGGATTTGGTGCCCGGCACCCACATGGTGTCTCACAGCCACTGTAATTCCAGCTCCAAGGAATCCAACACTCTTTTCTTCATCCAGGGGCACCAGCCATGCATGTGGTACATAGACATACATGCAGGCCAAGCAGTCAGTCACATAAAACAAATGAATCTTCAGAGATTTGTATGGGGCCGGGGAGATGAGGGAGATGGCTCAGTAGGTTAGCACTACACCACTGGCTGAAGCCTGAGTTCAGTTCCTGGAACCCATCGAGCAGAAGAAGAGAACTCACTCCTGTAAACTTGTTTCCTGATCATCACGCACATGCACTAAATAAATTATGTGGAGAGTGATAGAGAACCGTAATGGACTTCTGGCTCCCACGTATGCAAGTCCACACACACACAAACACCACACACGCATAAAAAGTACATTATCTGTCACATTACAGTGATGGTGGTATCATTTTTAAAAAATAAGCCTTAAATGACAAAAATCGTAAAATTATTTACACTTTTGACTCGATAATACCACTCCTGAAATTTCACATTAAGGAAAAATTCTAAAGAAGAATTTAAAGGTCTGGAAATATTTGCTGAAGTGTTATGTATAATAGTCAGAAGCAGTAACTTAAGTCTTCCATTGGAGAGCAGGTAAGTAAAATACGTTCTGCTATAAAAAGGACACGCTGCTGTTGCCAGTACCTGAAACACATGCATGGGGTTTTAACCATGACAATACTTGACTTAGGTGACATTTTGGGTGATTGATCATATCCTGATAAAATGGGATTCGGCTTGAGGATTTAACATAAATTTTAAAGATAAATAATTTGTGCTTTGAATAGACACGGTTTGCTTCCGAGCCTGGCCTCTAACTGATGATTGTTACAATTGTTTTTAGACATATCTCTTGGGAAGCTGTGCTTCTGATAGGAACATAGTACTGTATGACATGCGGCAAGCAACTCCCCTGAAGAAGGTGCGTTTCCGTCTCATCTTTGTTTATGAGGTTGTTACAGCATTCTGTATAGCAAGTCGCTGAAGAAATGAAACCAGTGCTTCACAGTTTGTTTTCCCTCCTTCATAGAGCTGTTCCTTAACCCCCAGGATGAAGGCGATAACATTCATCTTTCCACTGATTTAGACTCTGTTTCTTTGTTTCTTCCATAATGCCAGTAATTTTAGGCATCTAAATCAGTACTTGCTAAAATGAAACTCTTAAAACAAAAGGTATTTCATTACATTGAAAGCACTGTCTTGTCAATGAGGTTTCTCAATAGTCTTTTCATTCACCATGGTCATTTCAGGGCCTTGATATCAAAGCTGACTTTCAGGAGAGAAATACTGTTTGTACACAGAATGATATCTAGCATTTGTAGTATTGTCAGGACAAAAGAAGGGCTAGGTGTCATTCATGCACTGTGAGTCCGTTGACACAGTTCACATATAAAATTCTTTTTGTCCACTAGATGTGGTGGTCCAGGTTTGCCATCCTAGCACTTGTTAGGCAAAGGTAGGAGAATCAGGAGTTCAAGGTCATCCCCGAAACACACTGAGTTCCAGGCTTTATGAGACTGTCAAAAGAATAAGAAAAAAACAAAACATTTTCCTAATGAGTTGATAGATTCAGAGATATTAAAGGTAGGAAGAATGAGATTAATATATTCATTATTCAGTTATTTGTCTGACAAATGAACTCTGCTATCTGTATTTCTTTTGTAAAATAGTGATATTAACTAGTACCTGGCAGTGTATTTATAGAAGTGAGATATGATACTGTTTAGCATTTAGCAGAGTGCTGACATTTTACTAAATATTAGTCATTGGCAAGCACACACATCTCCATGCACAGTCCATTTGTAGTGGGATTATATTAGCTGTAAATTGAAGAAAATAATTACAGCCTGTCATTCAGTGCACTCAAAACCGGAGCATTGCATTTATGCTTATTTTAAACAGTAAAGCAGTGCTTAATTGGGGTTTGTCTCATAGATAGTAATGGACACTGCTACTTTATCTTGTTTCCTATCTTAAAAATTGCTATTTATTTATTTATTTTCTTTCAAGACAGGGTCTCACTAGGTAATCCTGGCTGTCCTGGAACTTACTATGTAGAGAAGGCTGGCCTTGAACTCACAGAGATCTGCCTGCCTATGTCTGTTAGGCTACCTTGTTTTATCTTTTTTATTAATAGTAGTTCTCCCCCAGGAGCAGTTAGTTAGGGGGAAAGTACCTGAGAGCTAAGCTTTGTACAGTAAATCCATGGATTTCTTTACTTTCTTCCTCCCCAAATACCAATACCATTTTGTTGAGAAACAATAGAAGTTTCCAGTCATCACAGGTCCTTTCAAATCTTGCTTCCCCTTTGAAACATTTCTTCTGAGCGTTAGCCCTAAGCTCCCTGTTAGTTTTGTGCCTCACTGGTTATGCTGCCATTTGTTGCTTTTTCTTGCATCTGAGTGTAGTTTTGTTGTTGTTTGACTGTATGCCTCCACTTCCTAACTAAACTATGAAGTCATTTGAAGATTTGAAGTTCAGGGGCTAGGTGTTAAACTTTTTTGTTGTTGTTGTTGTATTTTAACCACTCTGTTCTGAGGAAACAGTCATTGATTTCTTTCCCCACTGGCCTGCATTGTGTGCTGTGCACATAAAAGGATTTGTTTGAATCAGAAAGACGAAAGTAGACAACGTACTCGTTTGTGCGTGTTAACTCTGCGGTAATGGGGTAATGCAGCGTCTTTCCTTTCTCAGGTCGTCTTGGATATGAGAACAAACACAATCTGTTGGAACCCTATGGAAGCTTTCCATTTTACCGCAGCCAATGAGGACTATAAGTAAGTGTCTCTTTCTGCAGGAAAAACTTAACTCCTATCACAAATGGCTTCCTTGCCATGCCTGGCCTTGTTAATACAGTGTGTTTCACCTGGCAAATCCACTTGCATGAGGAAGTCTGAAAACTGTCATTTGTTTTGCTGAAAATAATTTCCCAAAATGGAAAAGTAGGTTTTTAGAAAAATTTTTAGAAAAACTATTTTCTCCGATTTTAGAATAACTTAGTCAAAGAAGAGTAAACTAACATCTCTGGGTAAATTCTGTTTGTACAACAGTTCACGAAAATGGCCATGCCGTTTGATTATGTACTGGTATGGCTGCCTTTATGTTGTAATGCCTGTGGTGGATAGTTTCAGTAAAGACCCGATGGTTCACCTGACCACACAGAAGAATTGGATGACCTCTGATGTAGGCTTTAAATAATGACTGGACCAGCAGGTGTGGTCTCTGTCTGTGTTCTTACTACTCCAGAAGTTGAGGCAGGAGAATTGAGTTTGAGGCTACCCAGAGTTACATGGTATGTTCAAAGCCAGCTTGTGTTACATAGGAAGACATTGTTTCAGTCTTCATGAGCAAGTAATGCGTGGCCCATACATGTTTTGTTGGAAGCAGTGTCTGTTTTATAGGTGTTTGTGACTTCCTAAGTAGCTGATGCTCACAGAGTCAAACTGAGTGAGAGTTTAAATTTGTGTATTTTCTGTGCTGTAAAACTGACCTAGTAGACTTACTTTGAACTATGAGATTTTATGATTCCTTATGTAATGCTTTACTCTTGTTGAAACATTGTACATTGGCTGTCTCATTTCATCTTTTTAGTATTGTTCTCAGGTAAGATGTGTAACCAGAGAGGTTAATTTAGTGAAAATTATGTATTAGTCTTTCTATATCTGTAATGCATTTTATTATTGTTTTTAAGTACTTCTTCCCCCCTACCCCTTTTCTTTTTTTTAGTTTTTTGAGATAGGGTTTCTCTTTGTATCCCTGGAACTCACTCTGTAGACTAGGCTGGCCTTTGAACTCCCAGCTCCGCCTGCCTCTGCCTTCCTAGTTCTGGGATCAAAGGTGTGAGCCACCACTGCCTGGCTTTAAGTACATTCTTAATACATATTTTTGAGAGGGTACAAGCCTGTTGGTGGATTCGAACTTTAGATTTTCTGTATTTAAAAATCTGTCCACTAGGGGCTGCTCAGCAGTTTAGAGTACTGGTTATTCTTGCAGAGGACCCATGTTCCGTTGCCAGCAGTACTCACGTTGGGTAGCTCACAACCACCTTTAAGTCTGGTTCCAGTTATCTGATGCCCTCTTCTGGCTTCTAAGGCACCTGCACATATGTAGTGCTTGTGTAGAAAGGGAAGCATGCACACACACACACACACACACACACACACACACACACACAGTATAGCTTTCTCCTTGTCCAGGGTATAAATAGGAGAGTGTAAGTGGTGTCAGCTCATACGAGGGACTACAGTGCCTTACACTCCTATACTGAGAAGACGTGCAGTTGGCCATTAGCAGTGCCAACCACATTGAAGCCTTTACTTGCTGTCATAAATGCTTTGAAATGAAATGGTGCTGTTGCAATGAAAGACCATAGAAGACAAGAGTAATTCTGCAGTGTAGTGACCTCTACTAATATTTCTAAAGTACATTGTCAACTAGCTGTTTTGTCAAGATAATCTTTTTCCAGAGCCTTTTTAGAATTTCTCATCTCTTGCCTTGGGAAGAATTATATGCAGTTCCTAAAATAAGGTGTATCTCTTATAAGAAATGACTGCTAGTTTTCCATAATTGTCCTTATTTTTAAAATATTCTTGGTGGATTTGATGGTATATGCCTGTAATCCTAGCACTGGGGAAGTAAGGCAAGAAGAATGAAGAGTTTAGGGTTATCTGCTACCGAGAAAATTTGGTTACATGGCTCAAGGGCTACACGAGAGCCTGTCTCAGACAGAAAGGGTCTGCTGTGGTATCTCTGTTCTCTTCCTTGTTTTTCTTTAAATATTACAGTAATTTTTAATTAAACTCAAATTCAGATCTAAGGCATCCGATTGTTAAGCTGAAAGTGGGCAGGCTGCTTAACTTACTCAGGGCTGTGGTTTCACTGTCTGTGAGAAGAAGGGCGTAAAGTAGGTGACTGTCTGAGAATTGCCATAACTCAGAGCATTAGGTATTCCTGTCCAGAGGGATTGGGGTGCTTGGAATTTGAACAAATTTGCATTTTTTCTCCACAGAATGTTGGAAGAAGTTGATAAAAAAAAAAGCAGTTTGCTAAAAGAAAAAAAATGTTGAGAATCACTAAGCTCAGGGTGGCCTAGAACTTGCTACCTAGCTCAGGCTGGCCTCCCTTCAGTTTGTGAGCCTCCTGCTTCAGTCCTTGATTGCGGAGGTTACAGGCGTGAAGGCATAAGTACCGTACCCAGAGTGGTTTGCCTTTTGATAAGAATATCATGAATTTTTCAAATGTTTGCCTCCGTGCACTGTCTTGTATCATTATCCTAGTGCAGACAACTAACAAACTGCCGTAGACTGAGTGGTTTAAACAAGGAGAGTTATTTATCCTAGTTTGGGAATTGCCGGCATAATCAGGGCCGCTGGGGCCCTTGTCCAGCATGCAGGTGTGGAGGTCCGAGGACAGCTAGCGGGAGCTGGTTCTCTCCTCCCATGTGGGTTCTGGGGACTGCACTCAGGTCCCCTAGTCTTGGTGGTATACACCTTTACTCGCTGAGCCATCTCAGTGGTTTGGGGTTTTTTGGGTTTGTGTGATGTTCAAAGTAGTAGGGATTGTTGTGTTTCTCTATGTGTCTTAAGTTCTTTAACTGTATTCAGAATCAGACTGCCTACTAAGAGGGTCATTATTTAGCTAATGTTCTTGTTTTTACTAATGTCTTCTTTCTAGAAATGGGAGTGACATATTTAACCATGTTTTACAGCTTGTATACTTTCGATATGCGTGCACTGGACATTCCTGTCATGGTCCACATGGATCACGTATCTGCGGTACTTGATGTGGACTACTCTCCGACTGGCAAAGAATTTGTGTCTGCTAGTTTCGATAAATCTATTAGAATCTTTCCTGTGGACAAAAGCCGAAGCAGGTATGTGACTGCCAGCAAGCCGCTTACTTTGTTGTTGTTTCCAGACAGGGTTTCTCTGTGTAGCTTTGGAGCCTGTCCTGGAACTCACTCTGTAGACCAGGCTGGCCTTGAACTCACAGAGATACACCTGCCTCTGCCTCCCAGGTGCTGGGATCAAGGGTGTGTGCCACCAACGCCCGGCTAAGCCGCTTTTGCATGATATTTCTTTAGGCTGGATAAACATGTTTTTTTCTTAGAAGGTGGTTGTTGGCTGTGTGTGTATGATAGAGTATGCCCAGGTAGTGTGACATGGAGTATAGTCTTCTACTGTGTCGTGAAAGGACAGATCTGGTGGTTTGTTTTATTGAGTAGGTGATTATTTCCATATAATTAATAAACTTACTAAAAAAATTAGTTTGATGGTTAAGAACTCAGGTAAAATTTTTTCTGAAAGTAGTTTTAAAAGCAATAAATGATACTCCTTGATACTGTTTTTTATGCATTCAAGTCCAGCTTACTTCACCAGGTAAAGATGAAGGAAAAAGTGGTTTAGATTGTTGGTCAGTGTCTGAAGTGCTCCACACAGGTAGTTATGAAAACCAAGAGTTAAAAATTTTGAGGCATTTTATTAATGGCCAGAACAAGAGCAGGCTTGTGCTTCTGAAACATATCTTGGTGACCCAGCTCAGGGGTACAGCGCTTTAAAAGACAGCTCAGGGGGGTGTCAGTGGGGCGGGGTTATGTTACCTAGTAACATCTGCTCTCTCGCAAAGCTCAGCAATATTTCTCAGATACTACATGACAATTATTTCTGATTTACTTTAGTTTTATGTTTAAGTTTGCACGAACACCACATGTTTTGTGTAATATGTCTAGACCGTGGTTAGGGTCATGGACAGTCCCCAAAGCGTTGCCAAGGCAGACGTGGCTGTTGAGGGGGGTGGAAGGCTGAGATGCGGCGTCATAAATGCAGTGGGGACAAGATGGTCTTAATTTGGTCACTTCCCCTGTATTCTCTGTGAACTGGGAGGAGGAGATGTGAGTGGTGAGCCATCCCGTGTGTGTCTCTCAGTCTGTGAGCACACTTAGCGTGACCCCTGTCTTTAAGATTTCAGTTGCTTCTGCAGCTTAACTTTCTTACTTATGATATGTAGTTCAGTGTAGCATTTATGCATCCATGTACTTTTATGTTGAGGTAATACATAGGAAGCTGGCATTTTCAGAGACTTCAGGGAAATTTTGTACTTTATTTTTTGCTTTACTGGCTGGCTTTGTGCTGCCGAGGATTGAACCTAGGTCCTCAGGCAAGCGCTGTACCAGTGAATTCTTCCGGAGACGATCCCCTGCCCCTGAGACCCTGATTTACAGAGCACTCACACGTGCACTCTTGCTGTTGTTAGTCCTGCTGAGACATGTTCCTGTAAGCACACATAAACCACAAGAAATTGAAACAAATGATCCCATAGAAATTATGACAGTGATGCTTGGTGGTGGTACCCAGGAGGTAGAAGTAGGAAGTTGTAAGTTCTGGTTTGCTTTCTGTTCCTGTGGTGAAACACCATGACCAGAAGCTACTTGGGGAGGAAAGAGTTTGATTTACACATCCTAGTTAGTCAGTCATGAAGGAGAGTCGGGGCAGGAACCTGGAGGCAAGACCTAAAGCAGAGGCCATGGAGGAGTGCTGCTTACTGCTTACTGGCTTACTTCCCAATGGCTTCATCCGCCAGCTTTTTTTTTTAACTGCCAGAACCACCTGTCCAGGGATGGCACCTCCCACAATGGGGTGTGTCCTCACACATCAGTCATTAGTCAAGAAAATGCCCCACAGATCTGCCTATAGCTCAGTCTGACAGACGCAGGTCTTAGTTGAGGTTCCCTGGTCCCAGCTGACTCTAGTCTGTGTTCAGTTGACAGAAATACTAACCATACAGGCTAACCTGGGCTATCCTCCAAGACCACAGTAAAACAAAACTATCGAAAGATTCCGATAGTGTCACTGAGGCTAATAATAATAAATGCACATTAAAATACAAAAAGAAAATAATGAATATATATATACGTGTGTGTGTGTGTGTGTGTGTGTGTGTGTGTGTGTGTGTGTGTGTGTGTACATATCCTTTCTTGGTTGAGTGGCCTAGGCTTACTTGGGAAAATTATAGTTACGTGGAAAGATGGTGACAGGAAGTAGGAGTCATTATAGGCGGTGGGAAAGAGAAGGGGAGTCTTAGTATGGAAAGGAAGGCTTAACTGAAATTCCAGACATAAACTCAGGCCACCTTGTGAAAAGTTGTGTGTGTGTGTGTCAGATGGCTTTTAACAAAGTAGAGATCAACATGCAAAAAAACAGGACATTGAAGAGAAAGTCTCATCTAAGCTTCATTTTAATAACCATTGTCCCCTCTTCAAACATAAATTTCTTACAGTTTTAATGTTTAGTACATATCTTAAAAGTGGTGAACAAGGCTAGTATGTGAGTACACTTTAGATATACAGTGTATAAATATGAGTTATATCTGATTTGGTTATCTGTGGTTTTTATTTTGCTGTGAATAATTTGGCCAGCCTGTTTTCTTTTCTATCAGGCTGTCTGCATTTTGACTCATTTTTCCATATTTGGAATTAAGAGGTCTCATCTTAATTTCTTTGACCTTTTACTTGCTTTGAAATGCCCTTCTTAACACTCCCCAATATAGTATCTCCTGTGAATTCACTTAGCATGTTTCACAGCCTTTCCAAATAGGTATGACTTGACGTCGCCATTTACTAGATGATACTTACCTCAACTTATCAGACACTTTTGCAGCCCTCCCTGTGTTTTTCACACATGTAAATAAACTCTCACTTCAATTAGCCATTTAAAACAGTGTGCCCAAGCAAAAATCAGAACTGGGTTCAGCGTGCTAGGGGGTGCTTTTTGTAGGCCCTTTGGTTCATTTTATTTTACCAAGGAGAGAGTGGCTTTTGACCTGAATTAAATTGGGGATAAGTAAGTGTTTATTAAGAATAAGCCTTATCTGATTGGGAGTTGAATGGGGTGAGTGAGTGTTTATTAAGAATAAGCCTTATCTAGATTGGCATGGGAGCACACTCACTCCCTCACTCCCACCCAGCTCTCGGGAGGCAGAGGCAGGCTGATCTCTGACTTTGAGGCTAGCCTGGTCTCCAGAGCTACATAGGGCAACCCTATCTCTAAAACGGGGTGGGTGGGAGGCTGTCATTTCTTAAGCTTCCAAAGTTGTCCCTGAATTAAAATTAATGTTTTTTATTTTATTTTATGCTTTCTGCAATTCTTCGAAGCTTTCTATGTCTGGTTTTGCTTAGTGTGTTTATATTTATTTCTATTAATACATTCTGTCAGGTCATCCATTTTTGTTTGTTTGTTTGTTTGTTTGTTTTAATTCCCAAGTACTTAGAATAGAACTTATGGGTTAAGTTCAATGAAAATGCAATGAAACACAATTGAATGTTCCTTGTATACTTCCTCAGGACCTGCTTTTCTGACCATTGGTAGGCAGTGGTTGGAGAAAATCTTTTCTAAGAGCCCCGAAGATGTTAACTTAACTCCTTTTCTACAGGGAAGTCTACCATACAAAACGGATGCAGCATGTTATTTGTGTGAAATGGACCTCTGACAGCAAGTACATTATGTGTGGGTCTGATGAAATGAACATCCGTCTGTGGAAAGCCAATGCATCGGAGAAACTGGGTGTGGTAAGGCCAGTTTACCTTCATTGTTAGGGAAAGTTAGCAGCTAACCCAAGCAAGGTTCACTGACATGTTTTCCTGCAAGGCTGGGACTTGGCTTCCTAGAACACACTTCTTTCTTAAAAAACAAAAAACTAGACATAGCAACAGACCAGTACACCAGACAGTTTCCTAAAGGAGACAGGAGGATCCCTGGGGCCACCATCTAGACTGGCTGGCCAGCTCCAGGTTCAGAGACAGACTTAGTCTCACAAAATAAGATAGAGAGCAGTGGGGGAGGCCCCATGTAGACTGGAGTCTTTCCAGGCACCTGCTGTCTGTGTGCACACACACAAATGCACTTTCAGAAGGTTTCGTTGTGGTTTGTGGCTTTCTGGTTTTGTTTTGAGGGGGATTTTTGTTTTGTTTTGCTTTGTTTTTTGGTGGTTTGGGGTGGGGGTTCAAGACAATCTTTCTCTTGTAACCCTGACTGTCCTGGAACTCCATCAGTAGCCCAGGCTGGCCTTGAACTCACAGAGATCCACCTGCCCCTGCCTCCTGAGTGCTGGGATTAAAGGCGTGCGCCACCACCTGGTGTCAGCAGGTTTTTATCAATTCAGATTGATCTTCTTGTGTTCTCCTGGTTGTTTTCCTTGTTGGGAGAGCAAGATGCTGTGGGGACTAGAAGTTGAGGTTTGGGAGACCCCTCTTGTGTTATAGCGGTAGTGATTGGGCACATCGTCTAATATCTAAGACCTGACAACCTGAATTCAAAGTTGGTTCCATGAAAATGCAGCTGCATCTGGGCTGTCGGGATAATGGTGACTTGTGGCTTTTGTTATTGTTGATATTTCTAAATGTCCACTTTCCTGAATGAAACGTGGTTGATGTGAGAAGCAAGTACTGAAAAGGGAATGTTAGGTTTGAAGTGTTTTCGGCTTAGCCCAGTAGTAGAATCCAGGCACAGTAAGCAATGAAAGGTAATTCTATTTTAAGTTCAGTTATCATTAGGAGTTGCACTATGTCTTCACTCATTATTAAATGGTCTAATGTGTTTGTTTTATTCTTAGCATTCTTAAACAAAACCTACTTGGGGATCACTGTTTTTCTTTCACATAGTTAGATTTTTACCAGAACCTGATTGACTGACTGCTATGGATGCCTATTCTGTACTCTGTGCCCAGCAGGCTCCCCTCTGTGGGGTCCACAGTTCTGCCCATGCAGTACACTTGTGTTTACTCTCTGGCGTCTATTTGCGTGGTCGGTATGCTGCCTTCAGAACAGTTGGTGTCTGCAGAGTGCTACTAACAACTTTGCATTGGCGTGCAAGCTCACTGGTGATTTTGTCTGTAGTTGTCAAAGTTGAATTTTGGGGAGAATGAGCAGAGGGTGCTTCCTAGGTTTTTATACTCAGGAAAATGAAAGAATTCGAGATGCCAAATGCTCCTTGTTTTTAGCTTACATCACGGGAAAAAGCAGCAAACGATTATAACCAGAAGTTAAAGGAAAAGTTTCAGTATCACCCGCATGTCAAACGGATTGCTCGACATCGGCATCTCCCGAAATCTATCTACAGCCAGATTCAGGAGCAGCGCGTCATGAAGGAAGCTCGCCGCCGAAAGTACGTGTTAGAGCATCTGACTGTTCCCTCAGTCCTTTTAACTGTCTTCCTCTTCTCTCTGGAGACCAGGCTGGCCTTGAACTCACAGAGATCCGCCTGCCTCTGCCTCCCGAGTGCTGGGGTTAAAGGCGTGTGCCATCACCGCCTGCTTTCAGTAGTTTTTCTAGTGAAAGAAAATGCTTTATGATTTAAATTTTTTTCCCTTTGGCTGAGATGATTTCTTACGTACTTGCTCATATTTTATGTATTTTGTTTACTTCTAGGGAAATGAATCGTCGTAAACATAGCAAGCCTGGATCTGTGCCAATTGTGTCAGAGAGGAAGAAGCACGTAGTGGCAGTTGTGAAATAATGTTTTGTCTTCCTACCAAGCTCGATATATAATTATTTGCTGCTTGTGATTGGAACTCTGTAAATAAACGACCCGACTCTGGTTTCATAGTAAACATTGCACTTGTGTGTGTTCTTGTCTTTTCACGCTGCTTCTGTCTCTGCTCTTCTTACTCGAGTTTTGGCTGATCTAAAAGCTGGTTGCACAGCAGCAAAATCAGCTGTCAATTGATTCATTTGTGATGTAGCAAATGAAACCACCGTGGTGTTTGCCTGGTGTCTTGTCAGAGCATTTGGTGCTCCTCCTTGAAGAGAAGTGCCACCTGCCAAGTCACTGACACGCCTCCTGCTCTGCCACAACCTGGTTTCCATGGTGATAGTTCTGTGTCCCACACTTTACAGAGCCTGACTAGTCAGACATGAGCAATTTCCTGTAATTGGAGCCTGGACTAATCTAGACTTAGCATGATTCTGACCATTCTGAAATGTCACTTTGGGGTTCAGTCTTTTGTAAGAAGATGCATGGATGGGTTTCCTCAAGTGAGGTCGTCAGGCTAAAACCTGAAGGAAGCGGGGATGGTGGTAATGAGAACCTGCTTAGACAGAAGAAGATAAGGAAATAAGGCTTAGAGTAGCCCTAGGAAGAAAAGTGCATCTGTCAGATGCCTTGTCATTAAGCCTTGCCATACTGCCACTGTGACTTTCTCTTTGGTGGGAAAAGAAAGCAGGTTGCTCTTCAGCTTGTTTGTAATTCCCCTTGTCATGTTGTGTGACGGGCAAGAAAGACTGAGGTAATCAGATGTCTAGAGAGCAGTCCTGGTCAGTTTGGTTTGTGGAGTAGTGAATTCAAAGTTGATTACAGCCCAGTGAACACTTAATTCATTCACAGGAGACCTTAAAGCCACATGGAAAGTACCGGTGGCAGGGACTTGGGAGCATCACGAATTGGTATTTGCCAGTATTTGGATATTGTGAGTGGATGGATTATTTATTGAATATGTGATCTTGGATTTCATCAACCTTTGTTGAGCCCTAACGGGCAGGTGCTCATGTGTGCACATGCTCTTGTATCGCCAGCCGTGTGTGTGTGTGTGTGTGTGTGTGTGTGTGTGTGTGTGTGTGTGTGTGTGTGTGTGTGTGTGTGTGCGCGCGCGCGCGTGCCTTTTAAGTAAAGGGTGATACCATCTTTGTACTTGATTTTCTCCATGAGCACTTAAGCCAATGCCAGGAAATGAACTCATTATTTTTCTCCAAACCCTCAATGTCATCCTTAGCATTCTCTGTTTGAATAGCACACCTACCACCTACAGAGATTCTCAAGAAAATCTATTAGACCACAGGCTTTATTAAAAATTGTAACTAGGATAGCTGCTGACCTGCTGTTTATTAAACAACGTACTTAATTGAAACTAATTTCCCTTGAATTCTCGTAAGATTCCCCCAAAGGGAGGCCTTATTACAGTTCATAGTCTGTACTCAATCTACATAACCTGAAGGGGTCAGTCTCAAAGGAAATGAGTAATTGCAGAGCATTAGGATGTCTTCGTAGGATGACACAGTAGCACACTAGAAAAGCCTGCCTGCTGGGGAAGGAACAGCCCCCCAGAGAAGGGCAGTGTTTCTCAAATACCGGCAGAGACTAGCCTGTTGCAGGGATGAGCAGGAGTGGAGGAGGGATGTTTTCAAAGTAAACTCAAGACCTCTCCGTGCGTTCCTGTTCATTAAAAAAGAAAGAGATATATTCCAGCAATGCCATATCATTAGAAACTTTCTGTTCTAGGTCAATGGATAAAGGTCAGGTTAATAGTCTTTCTCCCGAGGGAGAAGGGCGTTAGGGTGTATAAGTCATTTGTTAGATAGTAGAGATGAATGGATCACAAAACTCAAAATATACACACCTTAGAGCAGAGGGCAGAACGCTGTAGGTGGAGACAGTGAGCCGGGTCCAGTGTGTGTATACACAAGACGTTTTGCAAAGGACAGAGAAGCCTAGTCACAGAGAGAGGGAGGGGGACATGCTTCTGGATGTTTATCCCACAATGCACCCCACTAAAGGAGAAAATTAGTTTTAGGGGCTAAATTTCAGACTAAGCCCGAATAGGCTGGAGATGTGGCTCAGCTAGTAGAATTCTTGCCTGCATACTTGAGGCCCTAGGTTTGATCCCCACCACATAGACTGAAGTGTGGTGGTGCATGCCTGTAATTCTAGCACGAGAAAAGTTAAACAGAAGATGGGTGTGGTGGCACGTACTTCAGATAGCAGCTCACTTGCTGGAGGGAAGCTGAGGGAAGAGAATCAGACGGTCGAGGACAACACAGAGAGGGACTGAAACAAAGCATGTCTGCTACAACACAGAGATAAAACAATTTCCAGTTAATACATGGGTTCTTATAGACTGGGGATCATTTTGTTACAAAGAGTATTTGCTGCAAGACAGTTCAAGAAATCCGTGGGGGAGGAGTGGTGAAGCCCTGGGCAGGATTTCAGTACACTGGAGCAGACCTCCCCATGGAGCTTGAGGCTTGCATATCCTGTGATCTCCATAAACTGACTTCTGGTCGTGTGTCTCAAAGCAGTTGCCTTAGCCTGACTTGATGTCACTGTCTAGTTCTAGTGACCCACCCATTGGCTCTCTAGCTGCCTTCCATGTATATTTGGAATGGGGTCCTTGAAGCAGAGTAGCCTCAGTTACCAGCTGAGATGTCTGGTTATGGTCATGGCTTAGCATGATCTAGAAGTGGGGGCCTTGGATGTGGGTAGGCAAGCCCGGGACGTCTTAGCAAATCATCAAAATAAATAGCAACATCCTTATATCATGAAGGAAGAGTGTAAAGGTACCCAGAATGACTTGGGACAGGTCATTGCTAAGTTGATGAAAGGTCATGGGAAAAGGAGACTGAATGTCAACCTTGGTTCATTTTGATGGCCAATTTTCCTAGCTCATTACCCTATGTCTCTGATGGGCCCTATAGATAACTCTCCAGGTGCATTCTGGTCTCTGTTCTTCCTAATAGATGGGAAGGTATAGGGTTGGGGATTTA